ACTGAGTGTCGCTGAGCATCATCCATCTTGGTAGTAACAGCTGTATCAGTACATGGACATCTCGGATATTCCCGGGTGAACATCGGCTCCCGCTTCTGTGTCCTATGTTTGAACGTTGAGATGTTTGGTAGGAAAGTAACAAATAGCCAGATACGTGCTTTTACGTCTGCTGAATATAAACAAAAGTCTCTGTAGTTCCCCTTAACATATTAAAGCGCGTGCGCAGAGAAAACATGCAAAGCATAACGTTGAAAAGAACTCTCTCACGTATGAAATGAAAAGAAACAAGACGTTTCTGCTGTCATCACACGCAGTTTGTTCCAACATTTTTGACTCCGCCTAGTGACTCTTAGGTAATATGTGTTGTAAACAGAACAATGGTTGGTGGATCTACGGCGCGTCGCCGTACTCATGCGCAGTGTTGCGACGACGGGAAACACCAAAGCTGCTTCTCCGCATTGCAGCCGCGCTCGGCAGGCAAAGCACGCTTTACAGGGGCTCTTCCGAGTATAGTCGCCCGCCAGAATTCCCCGTGGCCTCCCTCTCCTTGGGGTCGACTTGAGGAAGCGCCTAAAGTTCACCCTCCAATCGAGACAATTTGCCTCGACCAACGCAGTAATCGACATCGTCGAAAGTACAGCTAAAAAAAAAATGTATCGATGTGCGCGTGCTTTTTTTTTTTATTGTGAGTTCGATGTGGCGACCGAGCGCTCGACCTCGCGTGCGAGGAAGCATCTTCACGGACCGAACGTGCGCGAAATTGAATGCAGCGCGGAGCATTTAGCACCGCCGACCAAGCTTGCAACCCCTCTCCCGTCGTGGAAGCCGTAGCTTCGCTCTGGACCGCTCCCAAAGCACATACGGTAACGCCCCCCACGGAACGGCACGGAGCGACCGATTGCAGCCTCGAGCAGCGTCGTCCCTAAACGAGAGCGGACTCTGATTGTCGGTCCGCGCCTTGGCGCGGGCTTCTCTCTCTTTTTTTTTCTTTTTTCCCCCTCTCTCCTCTGGCGGAGCGACCGGGCGGAGAAGAGAGTAGTGCTTTGGGAACGAGGCTACAAGGGTTTGCCCCTCGCGCCCTCGTTCCGGAACTTATTCTCGGTCCCAGCGAGCGCGTCGGCGATCGCTGCGCCGCCTGGGCGACCACACCCAGCAGCGCCGGTGGCGGCCGCGGCGGCCGCCGTACTATCTATCACGTGATGGCTCTGTCGATTTTTTCCTCGTTTTGGTTATTTCCCCTCTCCGAGAACTATTGGGGTCGCGCTGCGAGTTAGGCTTAGAAGGACATCCGCTCCTTTACGGTGTTCCGGCTATTTGAGTGCGGCCGCGCGGCGTTGTCTGGCTGAATGCAGAATTTGACGAATGAAAAAGAATAACGACTTTGTTGCGTGAATTCTCCCGTTTTATTGCTTGTTCTCGAAATTCGAAAGTAGCCTTTAAGTGGTGAGTTCAAACAAACGGAAGAATACTTCGAATTAACGTCCTTACGTTAATTTAATTTTGGAAGCTTTGATTTAGTTACACATTACGTCTTCTTTTTCTTCGATTAACTGCGCTGGGAAGGTCCGTGGCTGCAGCTAAAAAAAGGCACTCGTTCTGTAGATCTTTTTTTTTTTTTACTTTACATTATTATAATTTTTCAGAAAAAGAAAACTAGTTTGTTTTACCGTAATTCATTTCGAAATTTTCAGCAGTTGCAGGTTCCGTCGCTTTGCTTTTCAAGACCATTCACAGATACACCTCGTCGCGGAATTCGACTGGTGACAAGTCGGCAATCGTGACATTTAATGATGACGAGGGTGAAGACTTCAATATACAGTAATTCTCAGTGTACACAATTCTTATATCAATACGAGTGCGTAGGGGTATTGATAAGCGAAGATACAGAATATCTCGGTGTGCATGAAGAGTATTTAACTGGTACAGTAACACAAATGTAGCTGTAATGAAGAATAGAGAGCAGTGTGAAGCTACAGTAGGTACGCAGTGACATGGAAGAGAGACTTGGCGCCTAATCTGGCTTTCGTGAATGCAGTCCTGTGCGCGAAACCGGAATTCCAAGCAAGGTTAGAAATTAAGCAGCGCGGGATGAGTAGGCTGGCCCTGGGAACACATGGCAAGACAACGAAGTAGGACGTACAAGCTTGGCGACAGGAGACTGATAGCATCCGAAGACAGAAAAGCTAGAAGTGAGATGATAGAAGTTGAGGGTCGACTAGGAGAAACGGGTGATGGGCAATAGGCACGCAGTACCCCACTAATTGTAAAGACTCCGACATAAACTAGAGGAAACTAACTAGAAAACCGACAGTCACATATTTGGGCAACAGTAGAAGCAGGGTAGAGACTGATTAAAAAATATTACTAAGAAAAGATTTCAGGCCACAAAGTGGGACATATAGGAAGCAGGCATTGAGACTAGATCTGCCTTGGGAGCGTCCAGAACGTTCAAGATGGATATTGCTAGAGAAGGTATCTAAGACAATCCTAAGGGACGATCTCTGCTGTTCGAAGACAAGACGGGAATGTTGTGGACTAAGATCTACAAGGCTAGATATCAAGAGATAGGCTGTGTATAGACAGGAGGATGAGACGACTGAGCGCTTGATACTCTAAGGGGTTTCACACTGCAGTTGCCGAAGGTGTGACTGATTCGCAATACACACTGGGATAGCAAGAAAAAGAACAGGCGTTGAGAAGATAGCGAAGTCTGATGGTGGCATAAGGCGAGGGGGGTATCAATAATTCCCTATTCTTCCTGAGGGCACCCAGTTGCGATAGGCAGATCCGTCCCACGAATATTAACGTTTCGAAATAGGAAAAAAATTACGAGACATGACCTTGATTTCCTTGTTACATGTGTCACCTATTGTTGTCGAAATTAGAAAGACTGGGTTAGATAACAAATGGTTCAACCGTTTGTTATCCATTCACTAATGAGCGATTGTGATGGTAAGGACGCGATGGCCCGCTGGCCCGTGGATGCAGATCTGGTCGTAGGTGTTCCGCGGTGTTGGTTCGCTTATTTCCGAGCTTCGTTTGTTTGACCTCAAAATAGAGTTATTTCCGCCATCCAAACTTGTCGTTCCAACGCTGAAATGGCCGCGGATTCGCTTGTCGCGTTTCGACGGGCCTCACTGCACAGAGTGAACCCACACGAGGACTGCCAAGAGGCTGTCAGTTTTTGCTTAATTTTCCGGGGATTCCTTTTCAAACGTCGGGTTAATTAGGCGCACTAAAATTACCTTCGTGATACGGGTTGGGGTTGCTCGTCTCGCTTATTCGCACATAAACTGAACGAAGCTGGAGACGTTATTCTTGTCTACTTTCTTTTGGGTAAGCCAGCGAATAGCGGACGCGTTTCTTTCGATCTTATCGGGAAGTCTTACAAAAGCTGAACGTGAAGGGGCTTCCCTTATTCGGTTTCATGCACGCCATATGTTTTTAGAGGAAAACTATAAATGTTCATGTATTTGCCGAGCATGTAAAACGTGCACGAAAACAAGCAGTAACGTCTAGCTAGTAGAGCTGATTTCCCCCGAAAACGTACATTTGCGCAGTCGCTATCAATACCTTATTTTTGTTTTGATTTTTTACATTTTTCTTTCGAAGCGTAGCCTTGTATTTTTGAGACTTAATGAAACGGAAACTCGTTTTTCTATCTACCAAGGAGTGGACGGCTCGAAAACAGCCGAGATGACTAACGATCTGTCGAGGTAACGGTACCAGTCATCGGCTTCTCTTTGCTGACAACGTTTTAAAGCGCTGCATTTCGATTGGAGTTCCGTTTCTGTTGAAATACATTGTTCAATCCCTGACCAATAAAGAAACAACTAGAAGGTACAGCTTTTGTCGTTTAACTGACTGTTGCATCCGAGACGCTTGTCGTCATGGCAGACGTTTACTTTAAACAGGCGACCTTGTCATACGAAGGGCGAAAAACAGGTTTACTTCTTTCTGTTTTCTATTGCTTACAGTCCTTGTTTTTCAAAAATCGTTTCTGAGTTCGGGATTTCAGCAACACCTTTAGCAAAAAAAAGAAAAAGAAAAAAGAAAACAAAAATGTGTAGGAGAGGGGGGGCTTGGAATTACTCGCCAGACGCGTACTCATTTCAAATTTTCTCGGAACAGGCGTATCGAATTTCCCAGGAGCATTCCACGACGGTATTGTAAACGGGGCCACAGCGTCGTGGATGTCGAGAACTTGTCACCAGACGGACCGTTTCGGCGATCGACTGGGACGAGTTATTTGTTTCCCTTCATTTTTTGTGCTCTTTTTTTTTTTTTCATTTCCAGTTGCATGTCTGTCTGTACTCTCGCTTAGCCCTATGGTTTCGTTAAGCTGCGACGAAACCTCTCCGTTGGGGACTTTCATTCGGGGCTGCAATAAACTGACGAGGTCCGATTCGACGACAGGAGGAATGTTTCAGGTGGCGCGAAACACCTCTGGTCTCGGCCAAGCGGAATCCCGCAGACAAGATTGCCTCTCGCTGCAGGCTTACACGCAACCGACGACGTCCCACGGACCTCCCAACAGAGGTCACTCGTTTTAACGGTCAAGTCGGGCGACCCGAAACCGCAACACCGAACCGTGCTTCAGGGATCTGCGTATTCAGCTAGCTAAGCAGCTTCACTAGTACGAGCCGGAGTAATCCAGGGAACGCAGTGCAACATGACCGGGAATGTTACGTTTCCAAGACATACTGTCTCTAGTTTTCTGTGCGTGGCCGTGTATCCCGGTTCGCGCGCGCATGGTTGTAGAAGCAGTGCTGGCCGAAGCCTGGCTAACTGCTCCGTTGTTGAACCATTTCTGCCGCCCGAACGCGCGTGGTCGTTATCGAAATTGCTATAGTCTCGGGTGTTCTGTTCCTCGGCTAAGCCGCGAGTCTCGGTACAATAGCGAAGGTTCTGCGAAAGCGGTCCAGTGTACCCCTCATCTGCGGCCGGACCTCTACTGACGGCCGCTCTTGCGTGCACCTGGCTTTCTTCTGTACCCGCAGAATCATCCACGACAGCGGCTTCACGCAGGAAGACTTCAAGCAGTACAAACCGGTGGTGTACAGCAACACCATTCAGTCCATGGTGGCCATCCTCAGGGCCATGCCAAATCTGGGCATAAGCTTCGGAAACAACGAACGAGAAGTAAGTCCCACTTTCTTCGATTCTCCCGACTGGCCGCCATCAAAGGCCCCGAACGTACGATAATACGTGTGTGTGCTCGAAAGAAAAAAAAAAAAAAAAACGAAGAAAAAGAGCGAAAACCTCGTGCACGTCTCCTAGTGGCAGCGGACCTTACGCTAAAAGACTTGGCTGTAGAAAATGTAAGTTTCTTGGCGTAACGTCGGCTGTCACTCTGCAACCTCCAGGAAACTCCTTTACAAAGTTCTTACTACCAGCTTCGATTACCTCAGTGACTTGTTTGTATGTGTGCGTGTGTCAACACTGGAATAACCGCTGAGAGTGGAATAACCGCTGAGAGTAGAAATAGAAGAAGAAAAAAAACAGGGAAGAGACCGTGAGGATGTCTGAATAAAGTCGAGGCAGTCGGTAACAATGGGTAGTTTATTACCCGACTGCCAATAAAAATCCACTTTATCCGCACCGGCTCCTTTTTTAGAAGCGAAATCACAAGGCTCCCAATTTGAAGCGCGCAAGCCACTATCGTCATCCGTTCGGCGACACCCGCATTTTAGACCTGCGTCGTCGCAAATCAGTTGCTTCGTCCGGAAATGTCGAGTTAAATGTTAAACGGGTCGCTCGCTCCGGCGTGCCGCTGCGCATAAATTTTGAATTTTCCAACTCGAGTAGAGATTTGCGTTCCCTAGCGTTTAAGTCAGGGCCGAAATATCTGCGCGTGGTGCGGTAGCGTTCACGGCGTGAGCGAAAGCAGTCGTTGCCCAATAACCCGGAACGAGCGAAGAAAGGCGAATCCCGAGCGTACACCGGCGGACATGAACCGGGGGCAGCCCACGGCGGCCATACAAGCCCTGCGCGCTTTGGCCGCTTCCCCCCGACCGCGGTTGCAAGGGTTCCTCACAATGGGACACCCCGACGAAAAAGAGAACATGGCGGACATTGAGGCGGACAAAGGCCCCGGGCAAAGCATCTCCGGGGGAAGAGCCGAGGAACCGCCGTGGAGGGGTCGACGACGTCTCTTTGGAGAGACGAACGAGGCGCATGCCCGACCACTGAACGTCATTCGAGACGTCACCTGTGACGACGCCGCTTTCGTTAGCCGGGGACCTGGGCCGCCTGGGCCGAAAGGTCACGCTGCGCTCACCCCGGCCCTCTCTCGTTCGGTCGCAGGCTGGAGGGAAGGGAAAGCGATCTGACGTTTCGATTCGCTGCATCATACATGCCATAAACCTCGCTTGGTTTGGTTTTGCGTAGATAGCTCGCTTTAATGGCGAAACACTTTGCTTTTGGCACTGTGCTCATTAAAAAAAAAAAAAAAAACATTTCGCTGCTCTCGCTCTTCCTCTCCCATGTCCTCACCGAGATGACGGGAGCGCCTCCACCGTCGGTGGCGTCGGGGCGTTGAACTTTATTGACGGGGGGAGCGGAATGCTCGATGGCCGATCAATGCGACTGATCTTGCGGGGCGCAGCACCCGGTCTCGTTGACCATGGCGACCAGCACCCTTCGCCGATTTTTCCCGGTGACCCAAAGGTGCGACGTTGCGGAAGTCGTGGCTCGCCCCTCGGTGCTCTCTTGGTATCAGATGCTCAACGCCCCGCAGCAAACATTCGCAAAGAGGCGCGCCACACGCGCGCATCGGTAGGAATCCCCCGCATCGAGATGAGCCAACACCACCTAGAATACTCGAAGCATGTGCACTCGAATTTGGGCGTCATCCGATGCGTCAGAGCTCGGCTGGGTCTCGTGTCCAATCATCGAGTTTAATCAGTTGGCGGGATCCGACTCTGATGACGTTCATCAAAGGAAAAGTTCCTTCATCATTCTAGAGGGTGTTGGATGAGCACGCACCAACCGACGGCTTTAGAACCTTTCTGTAACTCATCCCCGTGAAACATTCTGACCGTCACATTGCAATGCATGCGTATGCACGAAAGTGAGGTGCACTTGGCGTCCTCCTCTCCTTTTCGCGCGGGAGGCGGGACGAAAAGCTCACTCGATGTGCCGCAGTCCTCGCAGTGCGTCGTGAGAGAAAAAAAGCGGACAGACCGTGTGCGGAGAGAGAGAGCGAGAGAGAGCTACGTTTGGCCAGGCAGAGAGGAGCAAGCCTTCATAGAAGACGAGCAATGCTAGTGTATTTCGACGGAGTTTGCAGCAAAGCACCGCAGAAACACAGCTCCGTTTTTGGATTGATTTTTCGAAACTGTGGTTTCAAAACTCGCACGTAATCGAACGCCCTGAAATCTAGTTCTTGCTGTTTTTCTTTCTCCCTCTTCATCAATGTTAATCTTTGTATTTCTTTTTTATTTATTTTGTTTATTTTACAATACTTGAGGCCCCGCTAGGGCCCCGGCAGGGGTGGACGAATAATACATAGTACAGAACATAATAAAAAAAAGGGAAAACTCCAATACAATGAACCAAAACTCTAGCACCAAAAAATAGCAAAAAAAAAAAAGAAAAGAATCAAATCAAACCGTCAGGCTCGTAGAGCTCGTAGCTGTACGAGAAAATCATCCGGCGATGAGCTGTGAACGATCTCTTTAGGGAGTCCATTCCAATCAGTTATTGTTTTTAGAAAAAAAAAAATTAGTTTTTGAAAATGTTACTGTTACTGCGGTATGGCTGCAGTAATCTTCCGTGACTGAATCGCGTGTCTCGACGTAATATAGGTGATAGGGGGAAACGTCAACCTTCAGGTGTCCATGCTAAGGCAAGTATAACAACTTGGGTACTAGTTTAGTCACGTTAAGGCCTGAACCGTTGAGCTGACACAGTTGCTGTTGTTTTGTAGTCTTTGTTACCTAGGCGGGCGACTCCTCGTGCATTTCCCAAAATATTAAAGGAAAAATAAAATAGCTTCGACAAGTAACAGAGGCACTTCTTTTTTTTCTTTATTTTTTATCTTGGCGTATCTTGTGTGTGTGTGTGTGTCTGTTTTTTTTTTTTTTTCAACGCTGTCCGGCTGTAATTAACAAATTTAATGCCCTGCTTCAAAAAAAAAAAAAAAACTTAGTTATGTGCTCGTTGTTTACCAACAGGACTGGATATCAATTTCCTGCGAACTTTACCTACTTGAGAGGCCCGAGAAATATACACCGACGTATTACAAGCAGTCGCTTAGTGCATCCAGTAACATGAAAGCGTGTCGCATTCCTTCATTGGATGAAAGCACGTACCTCACGGATGATCGCAGTGTTCGTTGAAAGGGCTGACACAATTTTTGCCGCACTCGCACGACATACAAAATCCCAGACGGTGCGCTCCAAATTCTACCTGGTCGTGACGCTGGGAAAGGTCATCCCATTAGACAGCGGTGGTGCCCCAAATGGTGCCTTGCACGTATTACTGGGCCCCAGGCAGAGCCGTAGCATCATCGAAGGCTCAGTGCTCGCATCAAGGCTGGGCCAGCCGGAAAGGACACTCTGTTTTCTTACACAGTGTTACTGACCATCGCTTGCAATCGAGGAGTCGTTTGTGAAACTGCGCTGTTCAAACAGTAACAAAAAAGTAGACAAAAAACACGTAGTTCGCAAGGGCCTGTACTCGCTGTGTCTACTAACAGCACGTACATGCTCTGAGGGTAAAAGAACAAAAGCGCTGTCTCCTATCCCGATAAGAAGTAGCTTTTGTTGGTGCGAGTTCTCTGAGCAAGCTCGTAGCTCGCTGCGTGACCGACTGTTCCTTGACGCCTTCGAAAATGTTGGCGCAGGCGGACGCCAAGATGGTCTTCGACGTAGTCGCCCGGATGGAGGACACGGAGCCCTTCTCGGAGGAGCTGCTCAGTGCAATGAAGAGGTTATGGACTGACTCGGGGGTCCAGGAGTGCTTCGGTCGCTCCAACGAGTACCAGCTCAACGATTCCGCCAAGTAGTAAGTACACCTGCTGAATGACTCGCCTCCACTCACTTCCCCCCCCCCTCCTCACACACACACACGCACAGCAGATGCGGAACAACAGCTAAAGCAGTCAAATACATTTAGTCAGTATCCTTCCACAGCTATTGGGCGAGTCACCGCTTGGCGAGTTATTCCGTGGCGCCGGGCAAAGTTCGTCGGTTGTCCGCCGCAGATACCCTCTATGCCTGTCCAGACTTTGCGCGTGGTGCACAGCGAAAGCTACGGGCGTGGGGCCATATTATCGGCGGTGTTGCATATAACTAGCACCGATAATGCGCGACAAACATCGCAACCAAAACAGGGCGTGTGCTTGACTTCTTCTACGCGATCGATGCTACACGCCGCTGACAATGGCAAGTCAAGTCAGCGAATTCCACCGTCTATGAGAATTTCAGCGTTAGGCGAGCTAAAAGTTCAAGATTCCCCGCCCTTTTAAGCATACAAGTTACAGCCATCTTTGGGAGTGCACACAGGCTTCGAAGTTTCCAAATTTGATCACGGCGCGTACCCTGTGCTCATCCTCGTGGCCGCTTGCTTCGAATCTACCCGGGCATTGTAAGAGACGTTCGAATCGGAACAAGCGTATTGCGAACAAACGCGTGGGCAGGATGATCGCACTAGGTAATCTCTAGAGACTACCGACCATGTGCCGAGAAGGAACATAGAAAGCGAGAAACAGGGGGGGGGGGGGGGGGGGGGGGGGGGCAGCGTAAACGAACATGATGAACGCAGAACCTCGTTTCCCTGCGGCGGTCATTTCCGTAACCCGAGCGCGCTTACGAAACGCAGCGCAGATGCCTCGATGACGACAGACAGGAGGCGCAGGCTGCTCTTTAGAGAGCGGTCATTGCACCCGCATTTTGAGTCCCCATATCTCGCGGACTGTTTCCACGGCTAACAGCGTGTTCAAAGAAATCGAATGACGTCACTAGGCGTTAGTAAAATCACTCGATCCACCCCCCATGCTCCCGTACGGAACACTGGTCCCTAGGAAGCGCACCTTGGCGGACAAAGCGAACGCCCGAGTGATCCGTGCTGGTCCCGTAGGCCTCAGGCGCGATGAGGCGGCAGCCTCCAGTGGGTGCGGGATGCAAGGCGGTCTTGTAGTGGACGACTGCCTGGGGATGGATCTCGCCTTGAAATTACGGTTGATGTAGAATCGAAAATCAACCTTATGTCTCTCGAAAATGCGCGGACGTGACGTTGGTAGAATAGTAATGCGCGAGGGAGTGGATACTCCTGAAAGGTTGGAGCGGGAAAAGAATAGTAATGCGCGGTTTGCGAACCTTCAAGTGCACCGAGAAGCCCATCGAAGATGCGGCCTTTCAAAACCACAGGGTCCACCAGAATAATTTCCATTGTACCTTCGGAGAGAGCGGTGTTTACCATTTCGTTTCGTTAACCAAGCACTGTCTCGTCCCAATGCCAAGGCGGTGATGGGGGTGACGCCCCGTGACGCTCAGCAAGCCTTACCATTTGTGAATTCTTCCCCTGGGGACACCCGAAGGGCCCACAGGACTCCGGAGTATCCCATTTGAAACCCGCAGACAACCGGCCAGCTCAAAGACGCCGTTTCTCATGCACCAACACCGCAGCAAATATGGAGACGAGTGATGGGGAACTTAGCTTGAGGAGCGTCGAAGCGTGATGGCAAGCGGACTATAGAACAATCGTACAAGTGATAAGGGAGTGACAATATGGTCAACATTGCTCTTCCTGATTATACAATAAGAGTTCGACTGTGCCTATTCCGCTTACCTCTCAAAGCCGGGAGATTATTCTACCGAACCCTGTACAAAAGCGTGCGCCCTCCATTGCCTGACATAATTTAAAATAATTTATCTCGCCCCTTCATTGCCTGACAGAAAGGTAGAGAAAACGTAGTTTTTATGCTTGTTAAATTAAAAAAAAAGTTTCAGTAAGTTTATTTTAAAAAAAAGATGTGAATCTTGAGATTTTAAAAGTAAACTGGGACATGTCCATGAACTTTTTTTAAGGATCATAATATACCAGTCATGCCTAATTTTTACTGAATGGTACATGAGCTTAAATATCATAAATACTATGGTCACCGTTACAAGCATATATATAAATATATATATATATATATATATATATATATATATATATATATATATATATATATATATATATATATATATATATATATATATATATATATATATATATATATATATATATATATATAATTCCGTGAAAGATTTGGCAATGGTCCATATCTTTTCCTCTAAGAAAGGGGGTACAAATAAGTCTTCTCTTTAAACGCACTGCTCGATATAACGAAACCATATATGTCAAAGAAATCTTATTGCATATATAAGAACACATAGAAAGCTTTACGTATAAAGAATAAAATAAAAATACGTATTTAAAAAAATGACGTTGAATTTTGCACTTTTAGCTTTTTTTCTCAAGTTTACAGTGTTGTTTCTTCTATATAAACTACACTTCAGTTAACAACATTATAAATTTTACATAGGCTTAGGTTCAAGCTTTCATTTGATATGTTTCTTATGCCTTAAATAATTGTACATCGAAAGCTAGCTCGATTCAAACTTGGCCCATTATTGTCAAAGGTGCAAGATTAAAAACATCCTATTTTTTTAACAAAAAAAAAACCGTTTCTAGCAGTAAAAAAAAGAAAAAAAAAGAATCTATAAGTTTCGAAACTCCAAAATGTGTCACTGGTGAAGCATTATCCTCAAACTGTTCATTTAGCATCGTAAGTTGTCCATTACATGTCATACTCACACACTTTGTAAATAGATTTTCCTGTGCTCTGTCGTAGCTGCTGAATGGGGGGGGGGGGGGGGGGGGGGGGGAGCTTTTTTCTCCGGCCTCCCATTCACCACATGTATCTGGAGTGAAAAATAAACTCGTATCGTATCGTAGCGTAAAACTCCAAAAATGGCAAGACGTACTTCTGCTTTTTCGAAGCCCACGACTCAAGAAAAAAAACAAATGTTCCGTAGTTCTAATTTGCGGTTTTGTTCTAGCGACACATTTTCCACCAACATATATTTTCAATTTCAATTTGTTTTAAAATAAAAAAAAGTCTTTTTTTTTTTTTGCGCGCGAGATTTGAGATGAAATTGTTTATTTATGCGATGTCGATTCATTGACTATAATTCGAGGCGGAAAAGAACAGGCTCCGAGATCCCTCAAGGCTTCTTGCTTAACGCGCCTAAATAGAGAAAAAATGCGACTAATCAAAACTTGTTTTATTTATTTTTTTTTTTTGCAGCGGTAGTTGTTAGTGCTTTTTCCCTGCAAAAAAAGAAATGCTCATGTACGAAGGCAAAAGCCCCACTGTACACGCAGCCTCGTCGTTCCGCACACATACATGCGACCCCCAAGGCTCGCTCTCTCTCCCTTCCCCCCAGGTAGGCTGCTAAAATCGGAGGACACCAGTGGTTGTAAAGGAACATTGAGACAAATACTGATGAATGGTACTTTCGGACCGAGAGAACAAATCTTAGAATATGGAAAAGCAGAACAAACCGTAAAAAAAAAAAAAAAACACAACGAGGGAAAAAAAATACTGACAACAGGAAAGGGGCGTGTATCCGCGAATAGCTGATTTCATTTTCTTCTATTTCGTTTTTTTTTGTTGTTGTTATTGTTTACTTACCACCCTTATCGATCGAGTCTCCTTCTCTAAAAATAAACAAGAACGACCCGTAAAAAACTTTTTTATGTATCTGTCCCATGAACAGACGTGTCTGAAAAGAAGCGATCTTATTATGATGGTAATTTGTGTGAACAACATTGATCTGCTGCATTTTGCAAAGATTCCTTTTCATAAGCGTGTTTTTCTTACGAGGAAACTAAAGGCGTTCTCTTGACAATTTTGATCGAAGCGGTATTTTTTTTTAATTATTATAACATTGTTTTTCGATGTTTTTTATGACAAGGGAGACAGAAATTTTGCACCTTTGTTTCCTCTTCAGCTGAGCGCCGAATAAAATCCTTCTGAAGTGACGCAAGTGGAATTGTAGAATGCTGTATACAGCAAGGCGGCCAAAGCGCTCTCCGAAGCAACCGTTTCCACAGTTGTGTGTATATGCGTTCGGTAGCACAGTGTTCAATGCCCCCTTTAAAACTTTGCATTCACAATTCACCGCCAACATCACGCGACGTTACATTCGGGGCAATTTTCTAGACGCATCGCCGCCGTTGCTGCGGTTCGGCTGTTTGTTACGATGATTTGAATGGCAACTTCGTCCCTTCCCATGGAAGTGGTGTTGTTCATTGCAAATCGAACAACACGCTGACCAACGCTATCGAACCTACGTAACATTAGGATTCGAAGAAATACGAGAGTAAGTTATGCCCGTTGTTCAGTACTAGGGTTGTTGGCACCTGGTCGTCCGTTTGCCATTTCTGCTCGGGCGCCGCTAATTTGTGTCACGTTCTATACGAGTAATATTTGTGCCGTAAGTACAACCCGATATCTACAGTGCCCTTCATTGAAAATTTCAGGTGAAATAAATAAATATGTGGCGTTACGGGTGGGAGAAACGCTTGCGAGGCGGCAGACAGCGAAATAGGAAATGTCGCCTACAGCCTGTGCGAGCGAAAAAAAAAAAAAAAAAATCCGTTGCAAGTCCAGTTCACCGGCCAGAGCAGACGAGTTCCACGTACGCGGGAGGTGCGCCCGTTGTCCTGGTCCGTTCTGTTCAATTCGCAAAGAGCCGGTAAGACGAGAAGGCAGCCAACCAACACCCATAGAGCGCCCCAGAACCGCCGCAACAAAAACACGTAGAGCGGACGCCACGGAAAAAAAAATTTCTGGAGTTTCTCCCGAAGCACTCTGGTAAATCGAACCGGGCCAGCTTGTACACTCTTCTCTGCGCGATCATAAAGGGAAGACGGAGCGCGGGGGGCCCCCCAAAGAAAGGTCGTCCGCGACAATTCCGCCGATTTCCGGCGAACTTGCGCCGGGGAGCGGG